TCAAAGAGTATCAATAGATGCAATATTTGCCTTGAGGATGCTTATGGAGAAGTGCAGAGAAGGTCAGAAGGAGCTACATTGTGTATTTGTAGATTTAGAAAAGGCATATGACAGAGTGCCAAGGGAAGGAATTGTGGTTTTGTATGAGGAAGTCAGGAGTGGCAGAGAAGTGTGTTAGTTTGGTGCAGGACATGTATGGGAATAGTACAACAGTGGTGAGATGTGCTATTGGAAGGACAGAAGACTTCAAGGTGGAGGTGGGACTACATCAAGGATCGGCCCTGAGCCCATTCTTGTTTGCTGTGGTGATGGACAGATTGACAGATGAGGTCAGACCCCATGGACCCCATGGACTATGTTGTTTGCAGATGACATTGTGATCTGTAGTGAGAGTAGGCAGCAGCTAAAAGAGAACCTAGAGAGGTGGAGGTTTGCACTAGAAAGAAGAGGAATAAAGGTCAGCCGCAGCAAGACAGAGTACATGTGTGTAAACGAAAGGGAGAACAGTGAAATGGTGAGGCTACAAGGAGCAGAGGTGGTGAAGGTGCAGGAGTTTAGGTACTTAAGATCAATTGTTCAGAGCAGTGGAGACTGTGGAAGAGAGGTGAAGAATAGAGTACAGGCAGGATGGAACAGCTGGAGAAAAGTGTCAGGAGTTATCTGTGATACTGTAGATAAGTGTCAGCTAAGGTGAAGTGAAAGGTTTACAGGATGGTGGTGAGACCAGCCATAATGTATGGTTTAGAGACGGGAGCAATAGGCAGAAGACAGGAGGCGGAGCTGGAGGTGGCAGAGTTAAAGATAATAAGAGGTACTTTTGAAGTGAGAAGAAAGGAAGGTTTGGAGAAAAAGCTAGAGAAGCCAGATTGAGATGGTTTGGACATGTGCAGAGGAGGGACAGTGGATACATTGGTAGAAGAATGCTAGAGATGGAGCTACCAGGTAGGAGACAAAGAGGGAGGCCAAAGAGGTGATATATGGATGCAGTGAGGGAGGACATGCAGATAGTTGGAGTCAGAGTAGAAGAGAACAGGGAAAGATGGAAAACAATGATTCGCTGTGGCAACCCCTGAAAAAGGGACAAGCCGAAAGAAGAACAATCAGCAACTCTTTGAGTAACGTGATTGGTTAAGAAGCCGCCAGGTGGTGTATATATCTGTTTACGAGCTTTAATGGAACGTTAGCCTAGCGTTTACCTTGAATTATTTTTTTGTTTTGCTTGAGAATTAAGCAGTTATCATACTACACCCTGCTAAGTTGTATTTTGTAAATCTAAACGGTCAGTCCGGGGTTACTCTGCCATTTTAGAAAAAGGAATATTCCAAAATTCGGTGTCCCGTGGAGAAGATCCTGGTTAAAGTTAAGTCATGTCTTGTATATTCACTTTATTTGTTTAGGTCATACACTCAAAACATATTTTGCCCCACTGAAGTTGTTTGACACCCTATAAATGAAAGCTATGACGGTACAAGTGAAGTATGATAACTGGACCGTTAGCCGTAATTTCAACGGTTTGTAGCTGTGGTTGCAATTTGTAGGATTTTCTTCGCACCAGCTTTCTCTGCTGGCAGTTTTGTAATGTGCGTTCTTCTAAAACTACCTGAGAGAGTTTGAGTCATCATCATGTTCATGTTGGCAGTCTTGTGTCAAGAGCAAATATTTATTTTTGTTACCAATTACTGTTAAATATGGCCTCAGATTTGGCCAACAAGCATTTGACAAAATCATCACACTTCTTACTCGGTTTGCATCCAATAAGTCGACACTTGTGTCTGTGAATTTTGACTCTTTATTTAACAGTATTTTTTATTTGTCTTCTACTAAAAATTTTTAGTAGAAGACAAATAAAAAATAAAAAAAATAAAAAATTTAAATTTTTGTTTGTTATGGTTTTTCGAATGAAAGACATATGCAGTATACAGGAATACCCCGCGTATACTGTTAAATAAAGAGTCAAAATTCACAGACACAAGTGTCGACTTATTGGATTCTTCTTCTAAAAAATTTTAGTAGAAGACAATGCTGATTTACTCACAGGAATTGAAGATAGATGTACAGAAGGATCGTCCTAAACAGCTCTGATTCCCTTTTTAGTTTTCATGTGGCTATGAAAACTAAAAAGAGCTGCCATCTAGTGGAAGAGTATTTAATTGTTCTACCTGTCACTATACATTGATGAACAAAGAAAACTTTTTTTTTGAGTTAAAAATGAAGTGAAATTGAAAATTTCTTGCAACGTACATGTCTCACAGCACACTAGTGTGCTACGCCATGGTGGTGGGAATAACTGCTCTAACCTATCATACTTTTCAGTGTTATGTTAATTTGAGTTACTTCTAAATCTATTTAATGTATTTGGAAGCCCAGGTGATCGTTGTTATACGTCAATAACACTACCAATAAAACTAAATTTTTGCGTGAATCTAATGATTTAGTCCAGGTTGCAATCTCTCCCCCTTGTCAGCTCTTGTTAGCCATGGGGTGTATCTGCAACATCTAAAATGTTCTCAATGACTCTTTATTTTCTCATCCATTACATTCAAAACAACACCAGGACTGTGTTCAGAGAATGGTTTGCAAAATGTCTGACAGTACATCCTTCCTCAACCAGTCAGAAACCAAGGAGCTAATAGTTTGCTTCCAACCAGTCTTCTTTCAACCAGGGCAGTGGTGGCTTAGTGTTGGAAGAATTTAATTTATTATCATTGCTTCATGCAATACTGTCTGTCTGTCTGTACTGTCGCTTTAAGGAACTGTTTGCTTCTCATATTATAATCTAGTGTGCTCAAGACTGATGGAGAAATTACCAGACACAGCCACACCCACATTCACACCCACCTTCTTACTCCATACCCATTCATATACTCACACACGATCACATGATATGTAATCTGATACTTTTGTAAACTAAATAAAAGAGCAGAGGAAGGGTGCAGCAACTCGGAGTTGATGAGGAAGCTGCCAGCAGAGCAAGCTGCACTCTCCCCTTGCAAGTAAAAGATCCAGACATCTTTTGTGTTGTTACTTTGTCGTCACATATGTTAGAATAAACCTAACACTTAGTGGTTAAGGAAGTGGACTTGGGTCTGTAAGGCTTCAGGTTCAAGTCCACCAACTGCCAAGTTGCCACTGAAGTGCACTGGGCCTGGCACTGTCCCCACACATTGCTCCCTGGGTGTGTAATGCTACCCACTGTTCACTTTGGTGATGGGTTAAAAGCAGAGGTCACATTTCATTGCATGCAGTGATGTGCTGTGTCACAATGACAAGTAGTTCACTTTTCCCTCCTTAATGAAGGGTCGTCTCTTTTATTTGCCTCAACTCACTGAACTAAAGGACTGTATCAAGTCTGCATGTGGTGACAGAAATGGAATGGAGCATTGAGCAGTCTACACGAGGTAATAAGAGCCACCAATAAGTCATATTTTTAGATGGATGGATGGATGGCATTTCTTTAGAAGTAACTAACAAAAATAAACTGAAAGTGAAACATTTTCTCAACTTTATTAAAAGAACGACTAAAGTTATATAAATAATAGTGGTTATAATTGTCAAAAGTACTGGCAAACATATCCATTGTTAAAATAAAAACTACAAATCTAGTGTTCCCATTAGAAAAAGATGTCAGATTAAAGATGTATATGTACAGCATTTTACACATTGCATGTAAAAAAAAAATTCCAGTTTTAAGTCACAGGCAAATTTTTACATTCATGGTTATGTCGAACAACTGCTATTGGCACTTTTGTTTAATGTGAACTGTTATTTTTGTTAAGCATTTCAAAAATTATATGGAAACTGGGAAATATTTAAATGGTTAAACTACAAAGTATCATACTTGTAACCATGTCATCAAAGCTCAAATCAAATGTACTAAAAAAGCTCTGAACATTCCTTGGCCAGTTGAGAGTGGTTGTTGCTTCCACCGCTCAAGTCTCATGTGTTTTTATCAGGTCCTGTCTTCTGTTTAAGTGAACAAACCTATCAAATTAACCGTCAAGTTTCTTTGTTTTCTTTTGCTGCTGCCGAGGTGGTGTGCAATTGCTTCTAGGTAGAAACTGATCTGTTGATTCCAGAACCCCAAAGGACAACATCACCACCATCAGAGCAGGGAAACAAAACTCAGTAAGGTCTTTTGAGAAGCTCATAGAAAGTGTCTTTATATACAGTAAACATGACCACAAAGTTTTGGTGAAATGTATTTTTTCTTCCGTGGGGCTTTACATAGTTGAAGGTCCCAGTCAGAGAGGAAGTTGATCTACCTACTATAGGAGATCCAGTTCTAAAATGGCTCGGATTTTAGTTCTGTTTTTCTCTTTTTCACATCCTCAGTCTTAGTGCAGTTCAGAGTGGACACATGGGGGAGACAGAGACACTAGGTGCTGTTGTCAGTCACACCGTAAGACTCAGGAACGGCAGCAGTCGGTGTTGGTGGCTCGTCCGTGTTCGGAGAAGGAGAGCCGTTTTTAGGCCAGTAGAGTTGACTGAAACTCAGGTACAGCTCATCCAGTTCGGCTGGAAGCGGGATGCCCAGCTCCTGGTTAAGGGACAGAGCTCCGATCAAGTCCTCCAGTTTCTGGAAAGGTGGACTAAAGGGAGGAGTAGAGAGGGATGTGATGTCAAACCAGACCGACAAGGTTGAAAACAAGACAAAACAAGGTGAAGGAATCTGGCAACAGAGGCGTGGACTTGTACTGGCAGGTCTAGATTATTTTCTTTCAGAGCTGCTTATACAAGTTTAAAAAATAACAGGATAGTGTGTCTCCAGGTGAATTATTGTCTCCAAAGATTTTACATTTGCACCACAGCTGCTGCTGAATCCAATTTGTTTAGTTCCAGTAATCGTCAGATGTTCTCTACCAGCTATTTGTTACAAAAATCAACTTTCAACAATAATAATAATCTGTAAGACATTAACCATTAACACAACGTGCTTACCGTTCGTCTGGTGTGAGGTCACAGCAGGCCACAGCCAGTGGAAAGAAAGCTGGAGGACAGTCGTCAGGGAGGAACCTTTCTATAAATTTGTCAACATTCAGGCCAAAGTCATTGGTCCTCGGGAGACACTCTGGGTCTGCATAGACTTTGCCAATAATCTGAAGGATTAAGACGAGGAGAAAAAAAAGGCAAAGCATTAATAGATCAGAATAGATGGAACAATAAGGTTTAGGATGTACTAGCTTTAATTAATATTCAGTCTATAAAACGTCACATACAACTACTAATTAAAAGACATCTTTAAATACTTTACAGTACTACTGAAATACTTAGTGTACACATTTTGTTTTTTACATAATCACCTCACTCAAACAGCAACCAATAATCACTTTAGCCCTCCTAACGTCTGACCGATTTCTGAGCTGTAGCAAAACTCAGTTGAGAGTCTACCTAGCAATGCCCTTAACCTTTAAATTCACTTCAAATCCAAAGTAAATCTGTCCTAAAACATCTTGTGAGACTTGAATACTATAAAACAAATGCATTTTTACGCAGCAAAATGTTCACCAGACAACTTGCACTGGTCTATAGGTTACATTTATTTTTGAAGTACAGTTTCAGTACTGTTTCTTTCAGTACAGTTCATTTCAGGAGTACCCAAGAACAAAAGACTGTTAATTTAGACAAAGAACATAGGTTAAAAAAACATGAACCTAACAAGCGTCACTTATTCTCTGTGTTACTTCAATTCTTCTATTCTATTCTCAACAATTCTTCCAACTGTGGAGAGAGATGAAGCTGAGATGTCACTGGACTCACTATCAACATCAGTTCCAGTTTGTTGTTAAGTTTCTTTTCTGCTGCTCATATAGGATTTTTTTGGCTCTGTTTTATAATCTGCAGTTTGGCGTTCTCTTTTTGGTTCCATATTATTCGTTTTTTTCATGGAAATCTTTAATGAAATAAGGATGTTTTTATGCCTGCATATGTTTATATGGTTTAGTTGTGTGATATACCAGTTTTGCAGCAGTAGCATTCAGAAGATGTCATCTCAGGGACATAGGTTTTACTGAAAAATTATCTATATTTATTCAGTCATATAACCCTTTTTCTTAAGAGGTGATACTTTTGTGCATCTGTGTTTAGAAATGTTTTCCATCTGATACTGATTGGATATTGTATATTATCACACCAGATAATCAAAGCAGATGAACTAGATAGAACCCACATGCAGTGCTAGAATACCTTATACTGTTGTGGCCAAAGCAAAGACTTAAAGGAATAAATGAGTTCCATTATTGTCTAATGTTCTCACCTCACAAAGTACAATCCCAAAGGAGAAAATATCAACCTTTTCGTCGTAACGTTTACCTAAAAAAAAAAAAGTAAAAGGTAAAGTTTAATGGTTTGAAGACTATAGAATATGTATTGAATAACCCTGTCATGCACATGTCACTCACCATTTAGCATCTCTGGAGCCATCCAGTAGGGGTTTCCCACAACTGTGTAGCGCTTTTTTCGGTCAATACGTCGGAAAACCCTCTTTTTGTTATTGGGAGTTTTTTCAGGTGGTATTTTGTCTTCTACGATGAGTCTGGAAAGTCCAAAGTCAGCAACTACCACTGTGTTGTCCTGGTGGAGGACGGATATTCGTTAAAAATCCATATAAAAAGTCTGAGTCATATTTAAATGATTAAGTTATTCACAAATGGCAGGTGTCCAAATGTAGCCAGGTCACCTACTAGTTTAACCAGGCAGTTATGAGAGTTGAGGTCTCTGTGTATGATGCTCATGGAGTGAAGATATGTCTGAAAGCAAAAACATAAGAACATTAACACATTATTGCAGTAAAACTTCACTGATGTGAAATACAATCCTTGATTCAAAGCTGCTTCTCTCCCAGTGCTGTGCACTCCAGATTAAGCCAGTCTCCACATCTTATCCCCACTCCTTTATTTTTTTATTTTCTCAGTTTTATTGTACTTTTCTCCTTCCTCCCATTATCATTTCACCACACCAGTTTTGGAAAAGAGTTATTTTTGTCAAAATGTGGTTTTTTGTTTTGTAATTTTCACTGTCACCATGAGCTTACTCAATTTAAGGTCTGTTGGTTATCTGTTAATTCTTATGTGGAAGAATCAGAGCTGTAGAGCTGAATTGTGCAAGAAAGAAAAATCACTGTGTTTTCCTGTGAATCAAACTCACCATGCCAGAAGCGATGCTCTTTGCGAAGCTCACTCTTTGCTCCCATGTAAACGGTTCCTGTTTGGTCAGAGTTAGGAGACAAGGTATAAGCTGAAAATAAACACAGCTTACTATACCAAATTATAATGCAGCAAGTAGAGATATGGGGAATTTAACACGTGAAAGCAAACCTTGCTCCCCGCGCACACACACACTTAGTATAATTAGAGTAAAAACAACACTCCCCGCTTTCAAAATTACTCTTTAAAAATAGACAGCGTTAGCAGGAGTGGAGCTAAGCTCTTTAGATTTAACCTGGCAACACTTTCTCCAACTTTTTTGATGCACGTCTTAGAAGGCTGACGTGCCAACCGGCCCACAACAAAGCTGAGGCCTTTATCAATACAGAGTTTACATCAGGGCAGCCCCCTCTCACACCATGATGAGCTGCAACCAGCTCCTTCTCTGGCCACTGAACATTTTTGTACTATTGTATGGATGAAGAAAATGAAAAGAGCAAATAAAACTTCTACTTGACTCACCATGTCCCTGATGAAATCCTTCAGCGTGCCTCCCTCGATGTACTCTGTTATCAAATTAAGCCTCTTGTCCTTGTACAGCACGCCGATGAACTTCAAAACATGGGGATGATCGAGGCCCCGCATTACTTTTACCTACAGTGAACCGGCGGTAAAAGATGGAACAGGAGATGTTCAGGAATACAATCCATTTCCTCTAACGGTGAAACTTAACCCATGAGATGAGGCATTAACAAAAACAGACTCCTCTATAAGATTGGGTTCTGAACCTCAAACTAACAGAAGACACAGAGCAGTGATTCTTTGAACATGTGGTGAATTTGACTTATGAGAGCAATAAATCACAGCTCTACCCAGAGCCAGAGGATTGAGTTCTCTATGAGAGGAAGTGCTTGGACCCCCTTCTCCGTAAGAGATTACTAACCTCCTGTAGGAAAGTCTTCTGGGTCTGCTCATCACAGCGGATCAGCTCTTTCATCACCATCACCTCTCCTGTGGCTTTATGAGTCACCTTAGGGAGGAACAAAAGCCCACCGTCATTTAGGAACACATTTTACGTGAGAAAAAATAAAGGAAGAAAGTGGAAAGAAAGTGATAATAATTAGAGCCTGACCTTGATGGCCTGTCCGAAAAAACCTTTTCCTAGGATTTCTCCATGGATGAGGTCACACGGGCGGAAAATACGATGAGAGCAGCTGTTGGGGGATCGCAGTGATTCAGAGCGTCCGATGTCTCGAGTAATAAAGGGCATCTCTTTGGGAGGATTTGGTCCAGGTGACTTGCATATGCTGTTACTACGCCTGCAGTTGAGAGGAAATGGCTCATTAAAAATATTCTCTTCTTCATTAGTGACCTACAGCAGTTTCCTGCTCCTCAGTTATTGTCAAACGAACCGTAAAGACCGTCTCCTCAGGGAGCCGTTATCAACCACATCTGCATCAGACGGTGAAGACAGACGCATGCGTGAAGTGGCTAGGACTCCCAGCCTGCTCCCGGGTGCTCCCAGTCTGAGGCGTTCCAACCTCTGCCGGACTGGGTCATACTCTATGAGCAGCTGCAGTGTGTGGCTGGTGTGGTAAATAAGATCGTCCACCTGTGCACATGATTGGGTTTGTTAAAACTCCATAATGTGCTATTAGTTTTCTAGAATTAAAAAAAAACAAGCAGCTGAGAGTAACACCTGATTATTGCATCTAATCAGCCAATCACAAAGCAGAAGCTCGACACATTTATGCACATAGACTAGGTCAAGATGACCTGCTGCAGTTGAAACAAAGCTTTCAAATGGGAAAATAAAAGTGATGTGAATCATTTTAAATGTGGCAGGTCTGGTTCAAGTTCGTCCAAGACATCGTTTAGACATTTCTTGGTTTTCAGTCACCAGATCTCAAACCAGTAAAGCACCTTTGGGACATGGTGAAACAGGAGAGCCACATCTGTAGCTGACAAATCTGTATCAACTGTACGGTGCACCGTAATCTCAGAGGATTGTTTCCAGAATCCTGTTATCAAAATCATTGGGACTTTTGACAATTTTAAAGGGGGAACTAGGGTTGTCTGAGTACAAGTAGCTAAATAGAATAGCTAACTGTGTGTAGTGAAGTTACCAGTATCTGCCAAGATTACATAAGAGTAACAATCTCATCCTTATCTCATCTCATCATGTGGTATTATTATTATTAAATAATATCCTGGAATTTTTTTGCCGAAATGATGTCACACTAAAGGCCGAAGACTAAATATCATATATTTTAATAATAGGCTTCCTTTGTCAAGGTTCCACAGCTATTATGTACAGTAATGCGGAAATGTAATTAGATACGACCTGTGTGAACAAATTTGTCAGTGTGATACTGCTGTGGTAGATCTATTTAGATCTGAAGTGGGGTAATCTGATGAAAACAAATGTGAGGCAATCTAATGAAATAAGACAATACAAAAACAAAACACAAATCCAGACAGGGAGTGATGACTGTGTTCACAAGCATTGTTGAGGTTGTGGGAATGAGTTTTCAAGTGTAGCCTTTCCACATACCATCATCTCCCAGCAGAAGTATGTACAGTATAAATGATTGAAAGATATTCCAAGAATGTCAAAAATCACATGTTGTATAATGAGGACATACAGTACAATATCTGCACAGGCTGTACTCGAAGTTCTGATCTTTTAGTGATTAGGACAGTTTATGATTTATAGTACTGGACTCACTTCATCCTCCATCAACGTTCCCACAGGAATCCCATTGATCTCCAGAATCCTATCACCAACATGGATGGCATTACGGACCTCTGGACTGATCAGCATCCCCCTGACCCTGCAGCACCAACACAGACACGTGAGTATATGAAAACAAATCTCACAGGATTTATCAAGCATTATTGGGTTTTAGGTCAGTGAGTCCTGTCAGTACATGTAATCCTGGGTTTTTCTACCTGTCCTGGCTTTTTACAAGGGCTGCCTCTCTGTTACAAAATCAAACAAATGTGTGAGATCTAGTGACATCTTTAATAAGATGACAGTTACATATGTCTATGAAGATTCTCAGTCATCCAAGTCATGGTCAAGGTTGAAAAGTTCTGTTAGGCAACTGGACGTGAATTTTCTAAAAGACGTTTCACCTCTCATCCAAGAGTTCTTCTTCAGTTCTAACTGGTGGTGGGGAGTACAGCAAATATATGCTCTGGGTGTGAAAGAATGAAGCTACTTCAGCTCCACCCTATTGGGTGGGGCCTTGGGGTCAACTGGGAAAGTGTAAACAGTCATTAGGAGTCTGATGGGTCCTTGTGATCCTCATCAGAAAGGTTTCGGTCACCTGTCTCTTTGTTGTGTGAAACTGAGGAGAATCTTTTGGGTATTGTTCCTAAAAGTGCTTTGAATGTGGGTGATAGGTTGTGTCTGAGTCCACCTCCTCTTTTACCCCTTTCTCAAACCATCTGTCTTCCCTGGCCAAAATTTTGGCCAGGGTAACCTTGACAGTAGTAGACAGGAGTAGTAGACGAACTTCAGCTACTTGTGCATAATAACAGATATGTTTCATCCTCCGCTATCCTGTTCTTCACTGAGACATGGCTGTGTGGATCAACACCAGATCCCGCGCTTGAGCTGGCTGGGGTGACCGCAACACGGAACTCTCCGGCAAGAGTAAAGTGGGGGTATCGGTTTTTATGTAAACTGTGACTGGTGTAGTGATGTAACAGTGATCCTACAGTTCTGCTCCTGAGAATTGGAAACTTTTATCATCAAGTGTAAACCCTTCTATTCTCCCTGTGAGTTCGCTTCATTCATTCTGGTCGGCATTTACATGCCGCCACAGACCGGCGTGCAGGAAGCCCAGTGGGCGTTCGCCAACCAGATACTGTCTGTGGAGCGGACAAATCTAGACTCCTTAGTTATTGTCCTCGGGGACTTTAACAAAGGAAATCTCAGCCACGATCTCCCAAAGTATATACCGTATTTTTCGGACCATAAGGCGCACCACATTATAAGGCACAATATCAATGAACGGGAATTTTTCATACATAAGGGTTATAAGGAGCATTAAGATAAAACAGTCAGCGAAACAATTAAGCGGAACAATCAAGCATGCCCTCTCGTCATTATCTTATTCAGTGTCATTGCTGTTAATTAGTTGTTCAGTGATGATTCCGGCCTTCGTGAAAGCTCAGACGACATTTGAGACTGATACCTTAGTTCTGGCATCCACGATCCATTGGCAGATAGTGGCGTAACTCTCCTGGTGTTGCCTCCCTGTCTTGGTGAATGTGTGTTCGCTTTCTGTCATCCAATGCTCCCACACAGCTAGCAATTTAACTTTAAACGCCCTGTTAACACCAATATTTAGCGGTTGTTATTCTTTGGTTAATCCACCCGGAATGATGGCAAGCCCTGAATTAGTTTGGTTAATTTGGGTTTCGACAACATCGGTGAGATGGGCGCGCATGGAGTTGCAGATCAATAGGGCAGTTACCTAAGTTGGACACTGGAGGACGCTGTTGTTGTTTGCCCCTCCAGAGTCAGGCGGTTGTCATTATTTTTTGTTCTGGATGGTCACTGTATTGTTGTTTTGACACTGTTCCGTGCGGAAGTGCGGATGTTGTTTTGCAGAGAGAGTGTGTGTTTTCCTGTATCAATAAAAAAGGAGAAATAAAAAGGGTTTTTGACCACGAAAAAAATCGACAGCCATGCAACTGAGTCGTCCTGCATCGCACCATACATCGACAATACAAAAACACAACTCAGAGTCTCCGGGTGTTGGGACGCACGACGCAACGATGCACGGATTTTGGTTACACAACTATACTGTAACAGTTGTTGTTGAGCATCTTCTAATTGTGATAACAGAGTTAAAGTTTAACTGTTAAACGTCATTGTTGGCTCCCAATGTGCTTCAGTTGTGTGCTATCATGTGTGCTGTGCTGTGTGGTTTGGCTTTATAAAATTGGTTTGAGGTCAGTGAGCGCAACCCGAAGCAATACATAAGGCACACCACAATTCAAAATGCCTATTATGCTGTTTCTCGGGCTGCACTGGGTCACTCGGACCACACCATGGTCCATCTGATTCCTTCCTACAGGCAGAAACTGAAACGGTGCAAACCCGTAGTGAGGACATCAAAGCATTGTTCCGGTGGAGCCATTGAGGAACTTCAGGCATGCTTTGATTGTACTGACTGGTATGTGTTCAGGACAGCTACCAACAGCCTGAAAGAGTACACAGACGCTGTAACCTCCTACATCAGCTTCTGTGAGGACAGCTGTATACCATCACGAACTAGGGAGAGCTACAACAACGACAAACCCTGGTTCACAGCAAAACTCAGACGGCTAAGGAGACTCAAGGAAGAGGCGTTCAGGAGTGGAGACAAAGAGAGTTACAAAGAGTCAAAATACAGGCTTAGCAAGGCGGGGAGGAAAGCTAAACGACAATATTCTGAGAAACTTCAACACAAGTTCTCAGCTAATGACCCTGCCTCTGTTTAGAGAGGGCTCAGACAAATCACCAACTACAATCCTAAAGCCCCCCACACCATTAACAATATGCGCCTTGCAAATGAGCTGAACGACCACTACTGTCGCTTTGAAAGACAATGCATCTGTCCTGACACCTTCCCCTGCACAGCCACACCCACCCCACCCACTGCAGGAACTCCGACACCTTATCCAGCTCCCCCAGCTTCCCCCCTCACCTCCACCACTGGACCGACTCTTGCTATCAAAGAGCAAGACGTGAATAGGCTTTTCAAAAAACAAACCCTCCGCAAAGCAGCCGGACTGGACCACATTTCACCTGCTACCCTGAAGCACTGTGCTGACCAGCTGTCCCCAGTGTTCACAGACATTTTCAACACATCACTGGAGATATGTCAAGTGCCATCCTGCTTCAAATCCTCCACCATCATCCCTGTCCCCAATAAGCAAAAACCCTCCAGACTAAATGACTACAGATCTGTTGCCCCAACCTCTGTGGTCATGAAGTCATTTGAATGCCTTGTCCTGACACACCTGAAAGCCATCACTGATCCACTCCTGGACCCCCTGCAGTTCACCTACAGAGCCAACAGGTCTGTAGACGATGCGATCAACTTAGCCCTCCCCTTCATCCTGCAGCATCTAGACTACACAGGAACCTATGCCAGGATTCTGTTTGTGGATTTTAGCTCAGCCTTCAACACCATCATCCTACAGAGTAAACTACTCCAGCTCAGTGTACCTGACTCCACCTGCAGGTGGATCACTGACTTCCTGACTGACAGGAGTCAACATGTGAGGATGGAGAAGCACACCTCAGACTACCGGACCATCAGCACTGGCTCTCCGCAGGGCTGTGTCCTTTCTCCTCTGCTCTTCTCCTTGTACACAAACACCTGCACCTCGAGCCATCAGAACGTCAAGCTCCTGAAGTTCGCAGATGACACCACCCTCATCGGACTCATCTCTGATGGAGATGAATCAGCGTACAGATGGGAGATTGATCGCCTGGTGACCTGGTGTAGACTCAACAACTTAGAGCTCAATGCCCTAAAAACAGTAGCGATGACAGTGGACTTCAGGACAAGCCCACCCCCATCCACGCCCATCACCCTGGGTGATTTTCCTGTGGATACTGTGGAACACTTCCGCTTCCTGGGAACCATCATCACCCAGGACCTTAAATGGGAGCTAAACATCAGCTCTTTAATCAAAAGAGCCCAACAGAGGATATACTTCCTGAGGCAGCTGAAACAGTTCAATCTGCCAAAGTCAATGATGGTGAACTTCTACACCTCCATCGAGTCTGTCCTCACCTCCTCCATCTCCATCTGGTACGCTGCTGCCACTGCAAAGGATCTGAGTACACTGCAGCGTATCATCCGCTCTGCCGAGAAGGTAATTGGCCGCAACCTACTTTCGCTACAGGACCTGTAAACCTACCTGGCAAAAAAAAACGTTTCTGATTCTGATTCATGCAGCTCAGACAGAAAAAGGTGACATTAAGGAAAAATCTGCTTGCTTAATTTCAGGTCACATTCAATCCACTCTAGATCCACACACTAGTGCACTGCTGTTGTGCAAACCTGTCATTGAAGTTATGTAAAGGAATTGAACACTGTGTCTCTACAGGCGCAGGTACAGGGTTCAGTCAGGACAACACTCACTCTTTGACTTGAACACTCGCTGAACCGTTGACATCCCTCAGCACCGAGACTGAGAAGCCCCTCTTGCCATTGGCTGCAGAGGGCATGGAGATGAGGGTCACAGTGTGGGGCAAGGAGTCCAGCACCGAGTCATGTGAACGTTTCTCCAACATGGGTGTAAGTACAACCTGCTTGTAGCACTTTCCGCTGCAAAACACCAGAAGATGTGGATGGGTGCATGTGAGAACATGTACTTGTTGTCAAGTTACAGTTCCCAGAACACTGTATTTGAAGGAAACAGTATGACCTTATCTGAATATATATGCCCAAAAATAGATGAGTAAGACAGTGGTTAAGGGTTCTGCAGGTAACCAACTCACCAGTACAACTTGGATCGTTCCACCAAAGCGTAAGTGTCCCTATCCTCGATCACCACCATGCACCGCAGACATACAAAGCACTCAGGGTGATACTTGTGATCTCCTGCCACCTGAAAACAAAAAAAAAAACAAAAACAATTTTTTTATGTTTCTCAGTGGAAGGAAGTGTGAAGCTGTGAGAGCAAGGCTGTGCTCTGTTAGCTGGTCTGAGACGGGTGTGTAGAGGTAGGGGCGTGAGGGTTCGTTTTACACTGTCACTGTAACACCTGCTTTACTTTCAGCCTGTCTGGATGATGTCACCTTTCTCTGTGCGTCTGAATGACATAAATGCTGTCAAACTTACATTTTCACCCACTTGTTAAACTGTCTCTCTCCTTTGAGATTAGATCAGTGTCATCAATCAGTGAGAGTTCTTATGAAAGTATTTTGTTTTTTGATTTTCATTTCTTTGACTAGCTAGTTTAGTTTCCATTCTTTGAATCCAACTGAGCCCAAATAAATTAGATCATCATGTTTTGGTTTGTCCATGAACCTAATATCATCAAATCTACTGTTACAGTGAAGGAGATGAGAAACTAGAATTTGTTAATATTACAAACACATGCTGACATTTCTAATATGAAAATTATGAAAGAAAATAATTAACTGAGTGTAATTCAGGAAAAAGTGAAGACAAATGTATTTATTAATGAAAATTACAACATAACTCACAGCTTACCAACTACATTTTATATTAGTTTTAAATAATTGTGCACATTTGCTGGTCTTCAGTCCTTGTTGTTTGATTTTGCTCTTTATGACACAGGTAACATTTTTTGGCCTTTTGCATCACTCAGTTTTCTAATTGTTGTACTCAGAGACTAGAGCTGACATAAACGTGTCATGTTCAATATCCTGGTGGACATTAGAGTCCTTGGAATTGGTACTTAAGGGTTAGGAGCTAAGCCATTACAATCACCTGATGCATTAAAGCTCTCTCAACTGTTAATGTTTCAAGGTTTAATTGCTAAACCATGTTTTTAACAAGTGGTGTAGACATTGTGACAGGTCTCATGTCAACCCTCGAGGTGAGGGTTGGGCCATTGGAGCATTTGGCCTAAAAACTGTACCAAATCACTATGTGGACTACAGCTGTAACAAGCCTTGTGTGATCTTCTTATATTGTAGCTCTCTGCAGAGGTGTGGACTCAAGCCGCATGACTTGGACTCGAGTCAGACTCGAGTCATCAATTTCATGACTTTAGACTTGACTTGACAAAAAGTAAAGATACTTGCAACTCGACTTGGACTTTAACATCAATGACTCGTGACTTCACTTGGACTTGATCCCATTGTTGACAAGACTTGATACTTTCTCCAAAACCCAAAGATTACAAAGTACCGTATTTTTCGCACTATAAGGTGCACTTCCATCCATCCATTTTTATCCGCTTATCCATTACTGGGTCGCGAGGGCAGCAGTCTCCATGACCACCACCCAAATCACATTCCACCGTACCAACCCCCCTAAACTTTCCTGTGGGTGGTGAATCCACTGGAAATAAGGCACATTTAAAAGCCTAATTTTCTCAAAAATCTACAGTGCGCCTTATAACCTGGTGCGCCTTATGTATTACTTCTGGTTGTACTTACTGAGCTCGAACTGATTTTATAAAGCCAAACCACACAGTGCACCACACATGATGGCACACAACTGAAGCACACTGGGAGCCAACAATGATGTTTAACTCTGTTATCACAATTAGAAGATGCTCAACAACAATTATTATAGTATGGTTGTGTAACCCAAATCCGTGCAACGTCTCGTCGTGCCTCCTAACACCTGGAGACTCTGCGTTGTGTTTTTGTATTGTCGATGTATGGTGCAATGCAGGACGACTCAGACGCATGGCTGTCGATTTTTTCGTGGTCAAAAACTCTTTTTATTTCTCCTTTTTTTATCTATACAGGCAAAACACACACTCTCTCTGCAAAACAACATCCGCACGTCCGCACGGAACAGCGTCTAAACAACAATACAGTGACCATCCAGAACAAAAATAGCGACAACCTCCTGACTCTGCTAAATATTGGTGTTAACAGGGCGTTTAAAGTTAAATTGCGAGCTGCGTGGGAGCATTGGATGACAGAAGGCGAACACACAGTCGCCAAAAGAGGGAGTTACGCCACTATCTCCCAATAGATCGTGGATGCCTGGGCTAAGGTATCAGTCTCAAATGTCGTTCGAGCTTTCATGAAAGCCGGAATCATTACTGAACAACTAATTAACAGCAACGAGACTGACTCGGAGAATGACGAGAGGGATCCGGGCATGCTTGATTGACTGTTTTGTTTCGCGCCTTATAACCCGGTGCGCCTTATGTATGAAGATAGACCTGTTCATTGATATTGTGCCTTATAATCCGGTGTGCCTTATGGTCCGAAAAATACGGTGAGTTATTAAGGAGCGCTCTGTATCTCTCATTGTGTACGCGTGTGCGTTGTGTGCGTGTGTGTGCTGTCGGCACAACGTCCAATCAAATTACACCCACGATGTTTTGACGCGATTGCATCGAGCCAATCTAATTGCAAGACAACCAATAGGGAAGAGCTGTCAAACAACGCGCGTTTGAGAAAAATGATACCAAAGATGGTGTTGTTCGGATTTAAAAACTACGAGGAGGTCAACAAAAAACGAGTGGCAGTGCAAAACATGCGGGTCGAAGATTTCAGACGGAGACGCCACAACTTCCGACTTCGAACGGTAAGTTCTGAATGAAAGCTATCGTTTATTAGCTTAATAGCTTTGTTTTGCTGCGTAGTTAAACCAATGAGGCTGTAAAGTCAGTCATCGTTACATTGCAAACACGGCAATCTGTCGTCTCCACTGGGAGTTCCCTCCCCTATTCCTACAGTTGTTTAGTGATTTTCTTAAGCAGGATTGTATGTGTTACATAACGTTAGTCAGTGCATCACACTAAGTAGACGGCAGCCAGCGTATTTTAGCCCTCTGCAAAGAAGTGTACGCTATATGTGCGCGTAAGAATATGCGTGCCGGTTTAGCTTGCCGTCAGACGGAGTTTTCCGACATGAAAACGAAGTTATACTGCTCGTTGTTCTCAGCCTCCAGCAAAGCCGAGTCCACTGATTAAAACAGCAAGCTTACTTCAGAGTGAACTTACTTTTCAAGCGATATAACTTCAGTTTGGGCTGTGTTGCAACTGTAACGTAATGTGTGTATGTTGTTTACCACACACACATTATAATTCATAACACAATGTTAAAATTGATATTAATAATATGAGCAATACAGAGTAGTTTCATTTTAATGAATATGTGGCTATAAGGGATTTTCTGACATCCATTTAATGTGTTTACACATTTGAAGAGTACCAGATGGCCAAAAGGATCCCAAATAAACCACAGCAGCCCTCAATTTCACAATTCTTGGACAATTGTGTCAGGCAATACAGCATGAGTCATCCACAGCAGAAAACTATCACCAATGCAATACTGTCCGACCTGATTATTGACTGCAACTTGCCTCTGTCTATCGTGGAAAACAAGAGTTTTCGGCACTGTCTGACAGTACTTAACAGCAAGTACAGCCCAGTGTGTCGAAGAACACTGACATCAAAAACAGAGAACCTCGCTGAAGAGAGACGCTCAAAACTAAAAACTCAATTGAGCAACACTGACCATGTTTCAGTCACTGTGGACATTTGGTCTGACTTAAAGATGAGGGGATTCCTTGGTGTCACTGTGCACTGGATAGAGAAAGAGGCAGAGAGGATACAGCTAATGTCCAATCTCTTGGCCTGTGAACGCTTCAAAGGCTCACACACAGCTGAAAGAATCTGTGACCAATTTGAGTCAATATGTGACATATACACCATTAAAGATAAACTGGACTACATTATTAGTGACAATGCTGCTAACATGAGAAAAGCATTCACTGTGTGCTTCCCCAGTGAACAAGAGGATGACGATGACGGAGATAATCTTGATGACCCTGAGCTCTGGTGTGACTTAACCCTGGAAGATCAGGAAACAGTAGATGTTGCTATCGCAAAGAAACAGTGCTTGCAGTGTTTTGCACACACTCTTCAGCTGGTGGTGGAAGACAGTTTGAAAGAAGTGGTATCTCACTCTCTTTCAAAGTTATCAAAACTCAGCTCACTGCTGCACAAAAGCACAACATTCAAAGATATGTTTGATGCTGAATTTGGGGAACAGAAAGGCATCCCTGCTGCAGTCAACACAAGATGAAACTCAACACTTTGGCAAGTGAAGGCAGTTCTCCACTGCAATCATCTAAAGCTCTGTGCTGTTGTATAAAAGGCTGGGCACAGGGAGTTGTCATTCACAGCACGGGAGTGGAATCTGTTGTGGACATCTTGAAACCATTTGGAGAAGCAACTAATTTGAGGGGGAGAAGGTCATCACAATCAGTGCTGTTGTTCCATCTGTCTTATCCCTCAACCACCACCTTGAGAAGCTGAAGCCTCAAGTCTGCTTCCTGAGTGGCCTGGTCAGGAGTCTCCAGGCATCCCAGAATAAAAGATTTCTGGGAATCTTCATCAACGTGAAAATGGCTAGAACACAAGATGGGGTTGATGCTCCATTTTCAGATCCAGTCTACCTCAAAGCAGCTGCCTTGGATCCAGCCTTTTCTCTGTTGTGAATGGAGCCCCATGTGCTGGTCAAGCATGATGTCAAGGCAGAGGTGGCACAACAAGTGAAAGGTAAATGTTACTGAGTCTAATGTAACTTTCCCCCTCACAATCTGATCTAATTGACTGCAACAATAATTAAGTATTTTAGTCTAACACACTACATCACCAACACAAATGGTAATAAGGACTGAATGCCCTTCTGTTCTGGGCTTTGAACATGAAGACTCTTCCTTCACTGTTCCCAGTGGCTATTAGGGTCTTGGCAGTGCTTGCCTCCAGTCATCAATGGAGGCAGGCACTGCCAATTACTTTGGTATCTGCTGCTGACTGTGTTCAACCCTTCATGGCCACAGTGTACCCAACCTACATTGCCTCACATGGGCTGTCAGTGCGGAACAGCCACCTTTGGGATGAGGTGAAATGGGACTTTTACATTTATTTGCTACATTTGCAGCATCTATGTGGTGTTGTAATGTTAACATGGGATGAAAATCTCCCAGGAATGGGGCCAGTATTTTTTGAAATCCATGCACAAAAGAAGACCACGTACCAGCCAGGTTCGAGCCGCTGTACCTAATGAAGTGGCCATACAGAGTGTCCACTGTACAGTTCGACTTTCACAGCTTGTTCATCTTTAGTTTCTGTTCTGCACAAGATGGTACTGTATATCAAACATACCTTCACTCTGATGACAGTTACTTCATCTCCCAACATGATGGGTGTAGAAAAGAAACACCTCACTAAATGAACACTTGCGACTTGAGGAAGTGAGCTGCAGAGAACTTCAGACTGGAGTGGGACCACTGAGGGGCCCCAAAGAGGGAAACTAATTCACAAATGTGGTCTGGGGTTAAATGTGTTCAGCAGAAGTCTATGCAAAGTATCACTCAATCTGTAATAGCCAAAAAAACAGCCCCCCCCTGGCTTTTAATGTGCTCATGTTATTCTGAAGCAGAAGAACCGCATCCACACAGGGATCAGTGACACGCTCTGTGGGCACTCTGGTATGATTTAAGTATAGGGAAATTGTTGGCAGCCGTTGTTACAAGACTCATGACGAGGCAGAGACTGAAAGATTTAGAAAGTGTGCAAAGGCACGCACATCCAAATGACGTACAATCAATTGGCAAAGTAACGGAAGGCTGAGTATTAGTTTTACTCTCCAAAATGTGCTGTTTGCCAACAGGTACATATTTGGGTTTAAACAAAGTCATAGTTTGTCTGTGGAAGGAATTTGGGGCAAATGTTTCCCTGACAGGTATTGTTTTGGGAACAACATCTGGTATGCAGACTTCTGGCTTCCATTCATCTTAGAAAACATATCTATTAGTTCTCTCATTGTCTTTATCTGTAGGTTGAAGTAAAGTATCAAGAATCATAAAAAGTAAAGATAACCTGGAGAAATAGTCTGTCTGCAGTGAACAAACTTCTCAGCCACCTACTGCATAGTCCTGAACCGTCTTCCTTGTAGGATCAACTCTAATCCCATAAAATATCTCAAATATACTCCACATGTGTGTCCAGTACCATGTACCAAGAACTATTAGTATGAAAAGCTTTTCCATGCATACAGATTTTTCATCAAGGTTTTCAGTGTTTTGACCATAGTAAAAGATAAAATGTCAAAAAAATGATTTTTGAATTTGTACACGTCTAATGGATTTTAAAAAATAAACAATGTCTGACCTTTAACCCAGACATGAGATATTCTGGAAATACATTAACAATTAACAAAAATTATCTTTATCTAATTGTCTTGTTCAGACACAAACTTTCGCTCAAGTTGGTGTCCACTACAAACATTGTGATCCCATAAGATGAGCAGTGTAAACACTGCTTTACTTTCGTGTTTACCTATTTCAGTCAAAGTCACACATGTTTAAAACAGCAGAGAAGAATAAAATTAATTTTCTTTTCAATGTTTTATGATGCAAAAGAATAAGTGGTAGATGATGGATAGATGGATGGATTTTTGATGAGTAAAAAGTGCTGATCAGCTGACGTACCATGGCAGGTCCAGTCATGAGTAGAGAACATCCATGACACAGCTCCCCAAACTTCTCCCAGTAGTGTTTGCGACAGTAAAGCTTTCCATCCTTCTCGTAGTACCAGTTGGTCAGGTGGTCACAGCACACAGAACACCTGAGGACAAGAGAAGCCGTCTGTGATTTTACAGACTTGATTTATTCATCTGTTTTCAAGCACTTTGTATTCCTTGTTTTTAAAGTTTCCTTTTTAGATAGTCATTGTTATTATTAATAATTGTATTAATTTTAATTACCTTAACTTTTAACCAACCATTAACAAAATTAATCAGAGAAATTATAAGAGGAAAAAAACCTTAAACTCTAAACATAATCCAAATCAGAAGCTACCAAAAGTCCATGTGAGACACTTGGTCTCCATTCTGTCAGGTGCATGTTGGTCTGAGCCATTTACATGTTTTTTTTATTGCACAATCAGGAAATGTGAAGTAAAAAAGATAACAGATCATTTGATTTCACTTCAGTCTTGTGTTTCTAATAACGCTCATCTAAACTAGAACAGATAAGAAGATAGTTTGCACTGCAAATTAATTTGACCCAAGAATTAATGGCCACCAAACACCAACACCATTGTCGACACCCCCCCAGCAACAAAAGGTTCTTCCAACACTGCTGAATCATGGAACAGCAGTGCCACATAGTGGCGACTGCAGGGATCACATGATACAAGAACAATAATATGATTGGCCACAAGAGGCCTAGCCTCTCTCTTCCATTGGCCTACAAGATTTAAACACACACCCGGGAAGTCGAAAACCACTCCCCCCACACAGGTATATAAGCGTAAACAACTACTGAGAAGTTAGAAGTTATTCTTGAGAGGATTTGCGTATTAACAACTGTTGTACGAGATTTCCTTGAATATTTCTCCCGTCGTTTATTTTGCTTTATTGTTGGACCTGTTTTGTTTGACGTTTTGCTATTAAAACGAATCGACCATCTACCGGCTGCTTCCATTCCTTGCCTGAAGACACCTCGCACAGCAAGCATCTTTTGACTGGTGCTGTGATCCGGATCAAAATATAGCACAAATCTTTCAACCTTAAATTATGTTATGTTAGTTTTACGGAACAGACCTTTAAAAACGACCGGTCTGCTGTGTAAAGCTTACAAAAAGGTTACTGGCAGAAATTGAATACTCAATTATATTATTTCAGTTATACAATGGTAAATAGTATAATTACTCTGCAGTAAAGACTTAATTGTTTATTGTATGTATTTGTATCAGAACAAGTTTTTGTGATTGAAGACAGGACTGGACATTTGAGTTTTTAGTGATAAGGTGCAAACAGGAGTGGATAAAGGAGAAGTAAAAACATTATTGTGATGTCCTAATTATTAATACAAATTAAATAACCACCAATCAAGGATAATCTGGCAGTGTAAATCGAGTTGAACATCTTGGTTGAAAAAGTCAAAATGTGCCTGCTAGTATTCTGTAAAACACAAATTTTAAACAAGATAATGTGATATCAAAATGTTTGAGTTAGAAAAAGAAAATTATTATTAAAAATCCAAATAAAAAAAATCCAATAAATACAAATGATGATGATGATAAGGATTTCAGTGCTACAATGTGTCAGATACATAAATAATGTGGCTGTTACCTCGGACAGACAAATGGCCTCATGGTATGCTGATGGCAAATACCAAGAAGTGACCATGCAGTGAAGCAGCACTTGCACACACTGTGCACTGTTTGTGCATTCTGCTTTATGTTGGTTGCATGTGGCACATTTAAAAAAAAAATCTATAAACCAGACCATATGTGTCAAACTCAAGGCCCGGGGGCCAAATGGGCTGCATTTGGCCCCAGGCTGTTTTGTGTGGCCCACGGGAGCTTAAAAAGCATTCACTAAAGTCTATATATTCTATACAAGAGCTATACATTCTTCCATTTACAACTGGCCCTTTAAGGGGAATTGTATTGCTGATGTGGCCCCCGGTGAAAATGAGTTTGACACCCCTGAACCAGACGATTACTGCGTGCAAGCTCCTGCATTGGAATATTGTTTTTTTCTTTTTTTACTGCACCCTCATGCTGAATTCCCTGTCCTTGATTTGTAATTTGGTATGATGACTGGCTGAAGGTATGCATGCTGATCACAGTAATTTCACCTATAGACAGGTGGTGACTTTAAAACACATTTTCAAATAACCATAAAACTAAAAAAAAAATAGGTTCCTGTCAAGGCCTCCAAGGAGTGCTGATGAGAGCTGAGGAAAGTGTAAGGGCCAACCTTTGGGTTATGTACTGAACCTAATGTTACATGACACTACAAGTGAATAGTTCCATGTGAGTTCATGATGCTGGAGTGTTGCCCTTTCATGCCGCCTATTTAATGGAGGAATTTAGCAGCTCTGTAATTCTTCACTGTGTTGTGCTAACTGCCTGATCTCAGAGTTAAGGCACAGATTACAGCCAAAACAGGGGCATGATAAACAATATTGATGAGACATTGTTCACGTGACCGATCTGGATAGGTGATAACCTCCACGGCAGACAATAGTCGTTCTAATCAGCTGACTCTGAATATAGATTGGTCTGCAGATTTAAATCCAGTAGGTCAGCCACATCAGCAGATTACGATGCTTATGACTAGAACAAATCCAATCTCTATTTGTAATTGTTATAAACATAACATTTCAGTTATAACAACAAAGCTGTGATAAAAAAGCTCAAAGACAATTTACATTCAATCCCATGTTACTTCTAACTTGGGAGATGGTTTTGTGACGTAACTGCCTCTCAGAGCAAATATCACTCATAGGGCAGTGACCTGTCAAACCAAGGAGATACCATCAGCTACACTGAGACAATCATTAAGCCTCCATGCGGAGGATCTTCTTACATTTACAGCAGCCCCGTCAGCTCTCTCAGTACAGAAGGAGCAGCCTTAATTGCGTTTCTAACAATGATATCTTTTTACACACAAAAAAGAGACCGACAGAAAACAAAGCTTAGCCTTCCAGGGGAATGATCTGGGCTCATCCAGCTTATCATTTGTTTGTACACAGACAATATACGTGGAAAGCAGCTGGTATGTTGGTCACAGCATGTCAAATGAATAGTATCCATGTCAGTGTAGTTACTTCTCTCTGTGACATCAAAGCCTGGGACTGTGACATAACCTTAACTAGGTCACTAACAGGCGTGTTAACAACATACACTTACTGAAAACAGGAGTTGTGCCAGATATCCTGGAGGACTTTCATATGAAATGAGCCTTGGATTTTTCCACCACAGCCAGCACAGTAATCTGTACCTGCAAAACATCAACAACAATAATAACATACAGGGTTCAGCATATTTATGGTAAATAACTAAAACGTAATGTAAGGGTCATAGCTGTAATAGCTATATATACAGCTATATTCATAGTAGCATACAACTGGACTGCAGAACAATTATCTATCCGTTCTATCAGTTTTAAATGCATCGTTACCACTTAGATTGGTTTACATTCTCAAATTTCATAAATGCGTGTCTTGTTTTCTCTGCACCTTTTAGTAAACTGTTCTAAAAAAAGCAGTTTTTTAACAGGGTACCGTACTTTTTAACGAGTAGTGTTATGCATCTCTGGACAAAACGACGTATCAATTAACTGATTTTAATAATCAGTTGATTAATCCATCATGAAAAGCGTTTTAGGTCGCAACCCATTCGCTAACATACGAGCATACAGCATACAAACACATTTTGCACTAGCCGCGTTAAAGACAAACACAATATAGAATTGTTTTAGTGGACGGAGAGAGCGGATCCTCTTCTATGTATTAGGTTACAACCTGAAGTAAATGCTCACCTTCTAGTTCCTCCATCTAAATTATGACGGTCGTAGATTCTTAGATGTTTTTAAAAGTGTCTCATATTGAAGCAGGAGAGCTAGGCTGTGTTCACTTCTCTCCGTTGTCCAGTCCGCTACTCCCGGCTGTGAATGCAACCGAAAAGGAATAGCAACACACAAATCCCAAAAAACAATCCGACACGCAAAGCAAAGAGGATAGTCTCCTCTAGAAAGGAGTGCTTTCTCGCCTCTGGCAGCCCGAGTGACCTAATGCACTCTACAAATTCCTGTACGGAGAGCGGAAAGGCTCAACTGCAACCAGCGCTGCACCTGGAAACAGAAGACACTCCACAGTATCGGCTCCAAACCAACACAAATTATCAACACCGCCATCTGTCGACCAAATTGCCGCAATGCAGTAAAGAACGTGAGTCGTCGACTATATGCTTTCATCGTCCACTATCTTTCAACTGGGAGTCCCCAGCAAATTTGAAAGGAAAGGAAAGGAAAGTGAAGTAGTTGTCATTGTGACACAGCACACCACTGCACACAACGGAATGTGACCTCTGTTTTTAACCCATCACCAAAGTGAACAGTGGGCAGTTTTAAGCGCCCGGGGAGCAGTGTGACACAGCACACCACTACACGCACAATGAAAGATGACCTCAGGTGAAGGGTGAGGTCAAAATGCAGTTCTCAAGTGCCCGGGGAGCTGTGTGTGGCAGTGACGTGCGGTGAGGTTCATGGCTGGTGAGGCACTGACTCATCTGGAGTCAGATTTACAATTGTAAGAACTGAAAAGAGCATCTTATTTCACTGTTCATCATGCAACTGGTAATGCTTCATATCCCATTCCTCTTTCAATGACACTTACACCAACACAAACATATATAGTAACATATTCCATTCCATAGTCCTACAAAGAACGCTTCTTTTATAAAAATCAATCAATTAATTCAATTTTTATTTATAGAGTATGTTTCACCCCTCCTTGAACCGCAACCTTAACGTGATGGAGGGGTTCGAGTATCCGAATGAACCTAGGAGCTATGTTGTCGGGGGCTTAATGCCCCTGGTAGGGTCTCCCAAGGCAAACAGGTCCTAGGCGACGGATCAGACAAATAGCGGTTCAAACCCCCCCTTGATGAAGAAAACAACAAAATCAAAGAGGTTCACGTCGCCCGGATTGACGTTACCGGGGCCCCACCCTGGAGCCAGGCCCGGGGTTGGGGCTCGCAGGCGAGCACCTGGTGGCCGGGTCCTTGCTCACGGGAGTGACGTGAGCCCGCTTTCCAGTAGGCCCACCACCCGCAGGAAGGCCCACAAGGGGCCGGTGCCTTGTGATTTGTGTGGTGGTTGTGAGCAGGGACCCTGACAATCCCTGGACAACCACTCTGGCTATGGGGACATGGAATGTCACCTCACTGGGGGGGAAAAGAGCCGGAGGTCGTGCGGGAGTTAGAGCGATACCGACTACATATAGTTTGTCTCACCTCCACGCACAGTTTGGACTCTGGGACCCAACTCCTTGAGAGAGGCTGGACTCTCTTCTACTCTGGAGTTGCTCGCGGTGAGAGGCGGCGAGCTGGCGTAGGCTTACTTATCGCTCCCCCGCTTTCCCGTCGTGTGTTGGAGTTCTCCCCACTGAGCGAGAGGGTCGCTTCCCTGCGCCTTCGGGTCAGGGATAGGTGTCTCACTGTTGTTCCGGCCTACGGGGTGAAGAGCAGTGTAGAATACCCGGACATCTGGCCGTATGTATTGGACACTAGGGTGAAGAGAGGGGCTGAGCTGTCAACTGATCACCACCTGGTGGTGAGTTGGCTTCGCTTACGGGGGGCAAAGCTGGATAGACCTGGCAGACCCAAACCTATCGTGAGGGTCTGTTGGGAACGTCTGGTGGAATCCCTGGTGAGGGGGGCCCGCAGGTGGGAGCTGCGGGAGAGCTTTGAACAGGTCCCGAGGGAGGCTGGAGACATCGAGTCTGAGTGGACTATTTTCTCCACTTCCATTGTTGGCGCGGCTGTCCGAAGCTGTGGCCGTAAGGTCTCCGGTGCCTGTCGTGGCGGAAATCCCCGAACCCGGTGGTGGACACCGGAGGGAAGGGAAGTCGTCAAGCTTAAGGTCCTAACGAGCCTGGTTGGTTTGTGGGACTCCTGCGGCAGCCGACGGGAGACTGCGGCTCGGTTAGTCACGGAAGCAAAAAAGTTCAGGGAGGCTATGGAGGAGGACTACCGGTCGGCCTCGAAAAAATTCTGGCAAACCAGCCGACGCCTCTGGAAGGGGAAGCAGTTTCCCACCACTGCTGTTTACAGCGTGTCGTCAGGTGGTGGAAGGAATATTTCAAGGATCTCCTCAATCCCGCTGACACACCTTCCGGGGAGGGAGCTGAAGCTGAGGACTCAGCAGCTGCATCTCCCATGGAAGGAATATTTCAAGGATCTCCTCAATCCCGCTGACACACCTTCCGGGGAGGGAGCTGAAGCTGAGGACTCAGCAGCTGACTCTCCCATCTCCTGCGCTGAGGTCACCGAGGCAGTCAAAAAGCTGCTCGGTGGAAAGGCGCCGGGGGTTGATGAGATCCGCCCTGAATACCTCAAGTCTCTGGATGTTGTGGTGCTGTCTTGGTTGACACGTCTCTGCAGCATCGCGTGGCAGTCCGGGACAGTACTCCGGGGTGACCGGGGTGGTGGTGCCTGTTTTCAAAAAGGGGGACCGGAGGGTGTGTTCCAACTATTGGGGGATCACACTCCTCAGCCTCCCGGGAAAAGTCTATTCCAGGGTACTGGAGAGGAACAATGTGGTTTTCGTCCTGGTCGTGGAACACTGGACCAGCTCTATACCCT